TCGTGTTACATCTCAAAGTTCCGAAAATAAAAGGGGTGTATTTTTTTTTTTCTCATCTTGTAGGGCAAAAAAAGACTAGGTGAAGGTCGTGAAATGGAGGTGACACCTATTGACCAGTTTTGTATACTCACCCATTTTCTCGATTGAGTCATCAGAAAACTGCGATTTTTCTCTTCTTGTTTTGTGAGATAGGTTCCCTGGACTTTGACGAAATAGTTGTTAATAAGTCGGTCATTTTGTTTGGTAGCAATTTTGTTGCTAATAGCTTTATTTGGTGTCCCTGGAAATGTGGAGCTTGAATCAAACCATGATTTCGTTACTTACAACTGAACCCAGAAAGTTATACTAAACAATCAGTGTTTTGGTTTTTTATCCTTGCCTTGCTGTTAATTCCTCTAGAGAACTCTTACTTTGTTGGTGCTTCCAATATTGTTAAGCATATATTTATTTTCTACCCAGATTATATGATATGTTACGTTCAGTACCCCTGATAGGAGGTAACCCTTCAGGTTCTCGTTGTTTCTTCCTCCTATTCCTCTTGCTGAAGAGACAATAAATATATCTCTTGAACTTATTCACACTTCACACAAATCAGGTGCATCATCTTATATAAATCCAGGTGAATATCGTCTTTGCCATAAGGTTTTAGCCAATCTCCAAAAACCGAAATGTTGCATTGGCTACTTTGACCAAGAGTGGTCTGGATTTGTCTCAGCTTGCAACCCAACTTTCTTGATGTGGATTCTTGAATGAAACTATATGCAACTTGTACCCTTCACTTTCACCATAGAGCCTCATGATGCTAATGTTATATTCTCTAGCTAACAGCATTCAAAGACATTTGAACTTCTTCAATTCACACTTCCGGTTTGATTCCTCCCTGTTCCGTGGGTAATTATCATGTAGCTTATCCTTATCCTGCTCCTGCACCTAGCTATTTGCAATCGGTTCTTGTAATTTTTGTTCAGTAGCTTCTCTTTTTTAGGACTCTATTTGCAGGGATTTGATCCGTTTTCTTTTGGGTTTGTAGGTCTTTGAATTGCTTGATTTCGCCATATTCGAAGGAACTGCTGATCTGCATACCAATTATGATTTAGAATTTTTTGTAACTTGTTTCGGAAATATTTTGGTATATTTGTTCTCCTGTAATTTTTGAACTTGCTCAGAAAGCTATGAAGAAATGAGGGATGATCAAAGAGAAAATAGGGTGAATTTGGAAAATTGCTTCTGAGCACCATTCCCATTTCTTGTTCCCCTTTATGTGTGCTATAAACACCAATTTTGGAGGCCAGACAAATTTAAAACAAAAATCAAATTATGATCATACATTTACGAATCAAAAATATTATTTGCACGATCACATATTTATAATGATAAATAAATAATTATTTGCACGATCACATATGTATAAAGACAAATTATTATTTATTAATATTTTATTATTTTTATGTATCATCAACTTTGACAATTACATTTTTGTTTTATATAATTATTCACAATCTCAAATATTTCTCCCTCTTAAGTAATTTTAACTACGTAATTCATCTATACTACTACACAACTCGTGTCATGTGTGAGATACATTTATATCACGTGCTTTTATAAATTGAGGGTTATTCGATAATAAAAGAGTTATTATACATAAGTCAATTGTAAAATATAAGCTGACCATGAAAAAATTACATATTATTGAAAAATTTCTTGTACACAAATTTATTTTTTGGGCAACTCATTGTTCCAACAAACTAATACTCCCTCCTATTTTTAATAAATGTCGTTTTGAGAAGTTGCACAATTATTAAGAATATTTTTTTACCAATAATAACCTCATTAATGAGGATAGAGATGAATGTTTTAAGAAAAGATGAAGAGTGAATATAAAAAGACGTATTGTATTTATTAGCTAGATGAGAATAATAATGAAAAAATGTGTACAAAATATGCAAAACGACATTTATTTTGTTAATAGTTGATAATCCAAAATGACATTTAAAAAGAATAGGATGTAGTATTTTTTAGGTTTCGTATAATCCACCAAAACTCTAATCGAAAACAACTGCATTATTAACCAGTGTACTAAAAAATTGGCTTAGGTAGCCTTCTAGGCACTTGTAAAAGCCTTCTATCTGCATGAATCGACCGTTAAAAATTGTCCAGGGGGTTCGCCGGTGCCTAGGTGCTTGTAGGCGGCCTCGGTGGGAATGGCGGCTAGGCGTTCTCGGCAACAGCGGGCGGTTCTCGTTGATTCACAATTTCTTTTTATTATTAATTGCATAATGTCATTTTGTATCTAAGACAAAACACCAATGTTTTGTATAAGTTTGAATGAAAAAAATATATATATGAGAGTACAATTACAGAATGAGCACAAGTGCACAACATAAATACATAACAGACCCTCAACCTTCAAACTTACCACCTCGGCCCTCGCCAGTCTATATTCTCCCGCCGACCAGAACTCGCCGTCGAACCGCCCATCTCCGTCGTTACTCACTCAGGTATTTCATATTAGTCGAAGTTATTACTTATTAGCATTGTAGTTGGTTGTACATTATGTAATTAGTTTTTCTTAATTTTAGGATTTAATAAAATTTATTAGAATGCTGTTATGTGAAATTGCATAAATTTGGTGTTGATTGGTTGCTATAATACCATTATGGTGTGTAATGGTTAATATTGAAATGTAGACAATCTGTTCGATGAAATTCCAAAGAGAAGAACATAGTAGAAATGTAAAATTCAAAGACTGAAATCCGTCAGACTAGAACCAATTTTCTTTTTTCTTTTTTTTTTTAAAAAAAATAAAGAAATTCCTTACAATAGAACTGTCACCACTATTACTTACAGTTACAGTAGAACTGTCACCACCATTGTTCTAAAAATCGGCCTAGGCCGCGCCTAGGCACTAGGCGGTGCTCGGGTACCTCCAATTTGCACTAATCGGCAGAAGAAATCAGCCAGGTGGCTAGGCGGCGCATAGGCGGGCCTAGGCGGCCCTAGGCGCTCATAGGCGGACTTGGCGGGCTCGGCGGCGAAGCGGTTAGTCGGCGCCTAGGCGGGCACAGGCGGACCTAAGCGCTTCTAGGCGGGCTCGGCAGCAATTTTTCAGTTTTTTTTTTTTTAATTTTTTTAAATATTAATTATATTATTTTATTCTCATATTTTCTTTAAAATATATTAATATTATTTGGACTTAAGTGTGTCGATTTATTTTAAGTTTAGATCGTTTTATTTTGTAGGTAGTTAAATAAAAAATGAAGTATTTAATATTGATTTCTAGACCCCGACTAGGCGCTCTAGGCACTAGGTGCATAGCGACTTTTAGAACATTGGTCACTATTATTCCTTACAATAGAACTGTCACCATTATTACTTACAGTAGAACTATCTCCACTATTCCTTATTCACAAACAAAAAAGAATACTCACCACTATCACTTACAGTACTAGTAAAACTGTCACCACTATTCCGTACTCACAAACAAAAAATAATATCTAAAATGGCGGACCTCTGGGACGGTTTTGGCCCAACCGCAAATAGGAGGTGACAGTTCAACAAGTTATAATTTTGTGAACGTGAATCAGCCCGGTTAAAACCACGAACTGGTTCTTGGCCTGTTGTTAATGGGCTTGACCGAGCCGGTTCATCCGTAGTCATGTCTAACAATCGCGCACATTAGGCCCAATAGACATTGGCTCTTCTCTTCCATGATCATCTCCTTTGAGGGCTGCACAACATTTAGTAAACCGATTATAGTCAAACATACTAGTAAAAGTACTCTTGGGTACTTAAAGTTAAATATATTAATATTTGTATATTAAAAATTTTATATTTTATCGTGAAATTATGTATAATGAATATACAAAAATAATAAATAACTAATAAAATGATAAGTAATTCAAAATGATACTTGTACTTTTACACTGAATTTTTATAAAAATATATTTTTCAATTATATTATAGAATTATTTATTTCTAAAATAGTTATTCATACAACTCCTTTACATTAATTTTCTTAAACAAAATATGTTATTGTATTTTGATAATATTTTATATTTATAGAGTTGGTGTCTCCCCTTTATTAATTTTTTAATTATTTTAAATTCATTATATTTAATAATATAAAAATAATTTTCTAAGTATATAAAATATAAAATTATTTTATTATTTTTAATTAAGATATTTATTTATATTTATTATTTTGAACAACATAATAAAATTGAGTTATTTATTTAATCTATTTGTATAAAAAAATAATATTTTATAATAGTTCTTAATTTTTTTTATGTAATACTAAATTTTCATATTTTATCCAAAATTTATGGAAAAAATATATTACAAGAATTACTTTATGGTGCATTAGAGTTAGATTTTTATTGTTTATAAATAAAAAAGTATTTATATTGTTATTTGGTATTTTTTTTAATTTGTTTTGATAAATATTTATCAAGATAGATGAAATTATTTTTTATTTTATATATACAATATGGATGTCAAATCGAAAATCGTTAAAATATGATTATTTAGATATAACATAAATCAAAAATAAATTACAAATAAAAAAGTTATAAGTTTTAAAATAAAAATAATAAATATTTATAATAATTATTATCCGAATTACATAAGAAAATGTAAGAATAGTATAATTTAAGAAAAAAAATGAAAGGTAAACAATTTCTGATTCCCAAGCTTAATAGTCAAAATCAAACATGTACATGTGTCAATACAATGCACTAATTTATGCCAAATAAATTTACGAAGCACACGAGTCTACCTGTGAAGCTTAGCACATTCGAGAATAATATATAATGGATATCTATATCTAGATAGATGTATAGTTTTAGATAGATTAGACATGACCAAAACCCGGGCCGGGTCGCCGGGCTCGAAAACAATGACCCGGACCCGACACAGACCTATATTCGTGCCGGGTCAATGGCCCAGTTGATCGGGCCGAGGCCGAGTCGTGTGCTGGCCAGGTCCGTCATTTTTTAAAAAACAATAGAAAAACATAAAAATTAAAATAAAAAAGCGGGCCCGGGCCCGCCAGGCCGGGTCATGAATGGATGACCCCGACACAGACCCTTCGAAAATTCGGTCCGGTCCCGAACCCGTGGTCAACGGATTTGATCGGGTTGGGTTCGTGCCGGGTCCGGGCCGGTCGGCCCTTGGCCATACATATGGTTTCAAAAAAACAAAAAATTAATATCAAATGACACCCTCAAGAATAAATGAAATGAGATTGAGCCACACTATCACTACCAAAACCTAAAACCCCAACAAAGCCCCGTGCACACCATCTCTATCTCTTCCGGATCTACTGTCCACACTTCAGCTACCGCCATGGCCTCCTTCGCCGCTCGATCGGTTATGCGCTCCGCCTCTACATCCGCCCGAGGCGCCGCCGCCAGAATGTCCGCCGGTGCCAAGCCCAGGGCTTCTCCTTCCCCTTTTCGCCTCCCCACTCGGCAACCCCTTTCCGCTCGCATTTTCAGGTACCTTTTTCTTATTGAAAATTGCATTTACACTCCCCATTGGTGCTTGTCTGTGTTTCGATTGTAATGGATTTTGTGCTCGATGTGCGAGCTTGGATTTAGGTCACCTGTGGAGATGAGCAGCGTTAACGTGGCGTCTTTGCTGCCGTACCACACAGCAACCGCCTCTGCGGTTCTCACTTCCATGCTCTCTGTTGCTCCTCGCGGCTACGGTTGGACTCTTGAAGGTAGTTGTTTTATTTTCGTGGATACACACAGTTGGGTATTAGTAACAGCTGTGTTGAGAATCTCTTTGCTATTTATTGTTTTTTGCTTGTTTTAATTGATCAAATATTAAGTTTGCTGAACTATGCAAAGTATGTTGGTTGATCTATGTGTTTCTTTTTCTTTTTGGTTTTCCATGTTAGCAATTCAAGATACATGCATGCTTGTGCCTTAAGTGCTCACACATTTCTCATATTACAGGCACATAACTTGTATATGAGAAATTATCGTAGTGATAGATCCTGTTCAAGAAGATACCAATGTTAGTTCTTTGACATAACCTTCACGCAAACGTCCTTTTATTTTTTTATATGCATTTTTAGTTTGAGGTACAGCTCTAAGCTCTCGAAATAAAAGTGGCGTATTCTTTTTCATCTTGTAGGGCACAAAAAGACTAGATGAAGGTCGTGAAATGGAGGTGAAGTGAATAATTGTTTACTGTTCGCCTAGCCCAGTTAATTAGTCCTCCAGAAAAAAAAAAATGAATAAATTGAATTTCCATTGATTAGGAGCCAGAATATTAAACTATATTTTTGTGTTTTAATAAGATTTCTGGCCAGATTTTGTGTAAATAGCTTCTACTGAATCAGTTGGTCATAATGCTTTGGTGGTGTTTTATTTGCCAATAACTGTAGATACAACTCTTATTGTCGAAGCAAGAGTAAGGATGAATATGTAGTGGTTCTGCCTGGAATCCATTATGCTTCTATTGAAGCACTAACTTGGTTCTTACAAGTGAACCCTGAAAGTTTTAATAAACATTGAATGGTTGGTTTTCTATCCTTGCCTTGTAGATTGTTAATTACCTTAGAGAATTCTTAGCTTGTTGGTGCTAGAAATATTGTTAAACATGGATTTATTATTGGAAGAGAGATGTTTCTTGTGGTTCAGTCTCTTTCATATCGACTGACAAGTAGTATGGTACTACTCTGCTATTATTAGGCTTACTAGGATATATTTGCTTCCAAGAATCAATTTTGGCATTGACTAATTGGATTTTTAATGCTTCAAAATCTACAACACCAAATTGATGGTTGAAGCTTAAAATCCAAATTAAATAAAAAAAAAAAAGAAAAAAGAGAGGGAGATATCAATTTCTTATATCAAAAAGGTTGCTTATTCAAGAAACATGGGCATCTTTTGTTTTGATTTTGATTATAGATACTCAAGTATCCAAAATGATTATATCTTAGTCTAAATCTGTCGGGAGGTTTTTTTATTGCTGACTTAGTGTAATATGCATTCATCAGATTGCAACGATGGTGTATGATGCGTGTTGGATGGTTCGTGCGAAGATTTATTTACATGTGCTGTAGGGGACTGATAAATTGTCATGAATAAGCTCGATGCAAGATTTTTCAATTTCCTTTTGATTTCCTTTTTGTTTTTAATTTTACTATCAAATGCTACGATGTTCACTGTGAAGGATTAATAGAATTTGTAAGTTCTTAAAAGTTTCATGGCAGCTTATGCTCATATTAATTGGGCAATGTCCTTTCTGTTTGTCTTTGCTAGTACACAATATGTTCATATTTGATGGGAGTTTGGCTGTGCCGACCGAACTGGGAGTTTGACATGGAATTTTTCATTCTCTTTCTAGGGTTATGATAACTGGCTCACTGGCTGACTTTGGGCTTGAAGATATCCCAAATCCCCCTCTTTTGTTTATGATGAAGTTGTATTTCACAAAAGGCAGACATAAATAGGCACTTTTGAACAATGATTATCTCTGCTTTTTTGCTGCTTGTGCAAGAATAGTTGATCATTTCTTATGTTGTTATAACACCATTTGCAAGAATAGTTGGTCATTTCTTATGTTGTTATAACACCATTACCAGTAGTAATTTTCCCTTTTCCTGTATTTTAGATGGATGATTGTTAGAATGTGCTCATGTGTTTCGTGGAAGTTGGTGCTCCTGAAACAACGATTGCCATTCGCCAGAGACAATTTCCGCTTTATAGTGCACGGAGCTCTTCTTTGACGTTTATAACCATTTAAGTAGGTTTGCTTGACCAAGAACTTAAAACGAGAATTTGGCATCATGATGTAATGTTAGCATTACTAGACCTAGCTATAACTTGGGCTGATTTTTTGTCTCCAATATTCATTTTAAGTGGTGTCATTAATTCTTGAAGCATGCATTGTTTGGCATTGATTGTTTTCAAGCTATGTACATAAGTTGTTCCAATTAGGCAATTTATGATCATAATGAATAACAATATACATCACATTTTGGGGCCCGAGGAGGATGTTCAAAGCCAAGTACTCCTCGATTGGTTATGCCTTTACGAGGATATTGTCAAAAGTGGTCTATAATTTCCTCTGCATCCGATCATAGTTGAGATCCTAAAGTGTGTTTTGTTCTCTTAGGGGCATAGCACCCATTCGTGCAAATGCCAGTCTTTAATTCTCTTTATCTACGTCTTTTGTATATCCTATTGTGGTCAGGCATTAAGCCTTTAGTGAAAACTTCCAACTACACTAATGATTAGAAGTTCAAGCTCTTTTATGTCTTGGAATTTCTGATTCCCAGTGTTCGTCAACCACTTATTTATGAGTTTTACGGCAGTGAACAAGCAGCTAAATTGTATTAAAAGAACATGACTTGCAACCTCGTTGTGGTTTGATGTGCAATTCCCCCTCAAATATCACCCTTTTAGAGGTTTGACCTCTAGTGTATCCTGCAAAACACATCGGGAGTGTCCTTGGCTGTAGACTTCTAACGATCAAGTTAGTTCTCAGATTATGAAAGGTGATAAATATATGCGATTGTTGAAAAAATAGAGAAGAATTTTTTACCCTTTCATACCAGAGACCTATATATCGTAGAATCTTGTCTTGTTGTCCAAGATCTGCCCGATCTTGCTGCCCGGATGCCTTTGCAGCCCAAGGTGTGCTCGACGGTATCCTTGTTGTCGGAGGTCTGCCTGAGACTTAACCTTATCTCCAAGGTGATTTAGAGTGTTCTTGAATAACCCTCCACATCATCTGTAAAATGTGTCATCCTTATCTATTTACGCTATCGTTCAGAGGTCAACCATACACTGTCCATAAGTCGGTAACATACAAGTTGCTTATAAATCCATCTGTGGTCGATCAAAGGTAAACTATAGGTCGATGGCACTTAGACTACCCGCATGTCACTTCCATGTATGATTATAGACCGTTTAACATGAAAACTGCCCGCGGGTCACTCTCATGTATTAGCTGCTGGTCGATAATACCCCTTAGACTGCCTGGGTGTATTCCGGGCTCCATGAGCTACGGGGTATGTAGCCTAACACTGCTATCAAGAGGTTGTAAGAACCTCCCTGCACAATCGATAGGTCGTTACCACCTCCATAAACCGCCAATAGGTCGCTATCCCGGTTCTCTAAGCTGGACCTCCATAATTCATTTTACCGAGCTATTCCGTAAGCTATATCATGATCCATGTTCAATGAAGCCTACAAGTCAATGTTACAATTTAACTCGATCATAGAAAGAAATCATAGAAAGAAATCGTACATGTCGGATACACCAATAACTGAAATAACTTTATAGTCTCTCCCTGTTCTATTATACAAAGATCAACCAATCGCGCAGCTAAACAAAATTTCTGATTCTGTATATATATTACATCCTCACAACACATAAGTCTTGATTCAGACGATATTCTTCCAAAATGGAAATACAAAAATTCGGAAATATATTTCTTTTGCAGGTTAAAATTTTCCTTGCACACGTAAATTTCTTCGTGTGCATGAATTCAGAAGAATGGCTGGCACAATAAAAAAGAAAAAGAAAAAGAAAAATAAAAAGAAAAAAGAAAAAGGAAATGTACAACATTATATACAACAAATACACTTGCAATTCAAGCCTCTACCTCTCAGGCCCTCACTCCCCACTTCATATCAACAAAGACTCGTCTGAAACAATAGTCAGCAACGAGTACTTCACCTTAACCCGTATCATCCCACCCTCCACGCACAGCTTCGCCCCCGTCACCACCCAATACCCAGGCGGATCCTCCGGGCCCCGCACCATCTCCGTTGTGTCCACAAAGCTCGACATCCTTGGGGCTCTCGACGGTGAAGGCGGTCCCCCCGGGTAGACTGCAGAGTTCAGGTCGACCCTTGGCGGCGGCCTATCCGGCACCGCCTGCTGGCCGTTCAGGGCCGCGCTAAACGGCGTGCTCATCAGCATCGAGATCAGTCCCGACTTCTTGGATGAAGACCCCGTGGGACAGTCCCACTCGGACCGCCGGATTACGGCAGACCCCACCATGGAGAATCCGAGCCGCAAGAATAGTACTTTTTTCATGCCAACTACTCTGACCTCAAACCATGCACTGGTAACGATCGAGGCCGGGTCATCGAGACGGGTCCCGTGGTGCTCGACCGGGGCAGTGCAGATGTGGGAGAATATGCTCCACTTGACCGGCTCGAAATAGGCTCGGTCCACAGACTCATCAGCAGGGGAGTGGCTGTGGTCGGGGGAGAGGTGGAGAGAGTCGGGGAGGTTGGAAAGGTGCTGGAGATGGATGGCTAAGTGGTCGCTTTTTTTGCCTTCAAGGTACAGGCGGACTCCGGTCACGGGCCGGTTGCCGGTGAGGACCTGAGGAAGATAAATTTAAAATTGAAGTTTGAAGGAAACGATTAAACATAAAAAAAAAAAATAAATAAATTAATTGGATTAAACATAAAATCACAAAATTGATGCATCTCAAAGCATGGTAGTAATAAGAAGTCCGGTCGATTTTCGTGTTTTTGTGCGAAACGAAAGGACCATCTCCAAAGGGTTTATATACAAGTTGCAAAAGAAGGAAAATCCCAGTAGGTTGGAATTAGTATGGATTTATGCCAATAAAAATTTGCAAAGTCATTCATTTACCTTTACAGTATTAACGTAAAGCTTAGGACCCAACAACGTGAACTGAAGGGACGGGGAGGATTTCTTCTTGCGGTGATGACAAAGAGGAAGGTCACTGTATGCGGGGGCCCAATGCCGAGGCAACTGATATTCTAGAAATTGGGCAAGTTCCTCTATTGGTGGTTTATCTGCACCAAGATAACAAGAGAAATCATAATGAAAACTATAGTATTCCGAGCTTTTTTTAATCTATGATTAATAATAAAATCTTTATATTTCTTACTCACAACGGAGGTATAGGTTAATCGCATGGCTCAAGAAACCACTGCCTGGAATGCCGCTCAAAAGGGATGCAATAGGTACAAAGGACATTGATATCACGTTCGGATATTGCGATACGGTTGAAAGCCACTGCTTATGGCTTTGGCCACTGTCTAAACCTCCCCTTCGGATATGAATACTCCATATATCCTGGACAAAGAAAATTGTTTTGACATCTAAGCTCCGAACAAGTGCAATCAAGTCGAGTCCATACTGAGAATGTAATACGAGAACGAGACTCACATCATTTTTGGAGTGAGAAAAAACAGGCGGTCTAAATGTATTTGCTAATGGTAGCTGAAGATCCCACACCATAGATTGTTCAACCTGTAAATAGTTCAAATTTAATTAACCCCTATCATGACAATTAAGTAAAGGAATTTGTAGATGAGTAAGAGGATACACATCTCTACTTCCTAAATGATGCTCATTGTTAAATTAATTCACCATTGTACTTTAAAAGTTCAGGCTTCTGTCATTTTCAAAAGTATGATGAAATTTTGAACAGAGAAAACTACTACAAAGACAATCTACAAGCAAATTAATTAATTGATCGATAGGTACAAATCATAAAAATATCAAAATTAATTGATCGATAGGCCTTGTGTTAGGTTGTTCTACCATTAGGCCATCATACTCTTTACAAAATGATTACTTTCATTGGAAAATGCCATACTATAAAATATCAGAAACATAAGTTTGAGCAAGTGTGACATTTGATAGTATAAGCATGCATTTTTGTTTAGAGTATGACAAGTCGACCCGCCTAGTGGTTAGACTGCCTCACACACGAATTAGTATTAATCGATACATTCATATACTTCAATTACAGTGTAAAAACAGTTACATAATTGCTGCAACATAAGATGTAAGCTAAAACAGTTCATTCACATGTCAGACGATAAAAACCTTGTGTCCGTAGTTTATACGGAAATATGTCAATGGTTTGAAATGAACTAATATATAATACTCAAAGCTACCTTTGCCTTTGATGATTTATCAGAGTTAGCAACCAAATTTAGATTATCATCTTCAGAAAATCTTTCATCAGCTAACTGCTTCAACAGTTTCTGCACTTCAGCTGGCAGGAGATTTGATGTGCGAAGCTGCTTAATATGAATTACATCTTTGCCACCCATCTTAACCCCAACAATGACATGAGTGCCATATTTTTCTATAAACCTGATAAATTTCATTTCATCATACAGACAGCAACAAGAACACAATTATCGAGATTTACCCTCCAAAGACGGGCTCTATGAATAAGTTAAGGATTACGAGTTTGGATCTTACTCAGCCAGAGCAGTTGGATCCCACGTAGATGGTACTTCTTGCTTGACTTTATCTGACAGAGCTATTTGTGATCTTTCAAGCTCGACAGTGTACAGACCAATCAACCAACCATCAAAAGCAAGAATCTTTGTGGTTGATGCATCATTTTTCCAGCAGCCCTTGAAGTCAAACATTGCATTGAACACGCCGGAAGGTACTTTCCCCGCTAAAGACAAATCCTGGTTACAATGCTCTGACATCTGAACATATATTGTTGAGACGAGCAAAGAGAACACATTAATAATGCCATTGTTTGATGGGGTGATATTCCAAATTCATTTAATAACACGAGCAGTTCGGTAGAGAATCATGTTATCGAATACAAATTTTTGAGTTACAAATTCTTGTATTGGCTTTGTAATGATTTTTTTACACGGATTATGTTGAATAATTCCAAGTAGACAAGGACTTTCTCATTTAAATAAAATTTACAAATTTGATTTGTATGTACGAATGTGAAATATTACTTCCTAATAACCACATTTTTCGAGTTAATAGTAAATTTATTGGCTGAAATTTCAACTTTCTTCAGAGAACATGACACTAAAAATGTGGAATTAAGAACAGAGCCATTAGCAACACCATTTGAGTCAAATAGTCTAATCAAATAGTCATCATCGTACATCACGGTACAAGATCAATATAAATTTAAAAAATAAATTACGAAATTTAAGGAAAAGGATTTTCCACATTTTGTTCAACGACTACAGTTCAACACGGAGTTGGTCAGACTTGACTTCAAATTCAGAAAATGCAAGATACCCTCTGTTTTGTACTGGCAACCAAACTCATGACTTCAGCAGCTATCATTCACAAGTTCATCTTAATCACAAAAATTTCAACCAGAACTAATTCATAAGCATCAAATTCGACGAACACATACCCTAATTGGCAGATAATCACAATGTAATATCTCACCTTTCAACGATTCATACATAAACCTTACTAATAATTTTTCACACATAGCTCAAATCTAGCAAAAGTTTCTATCTGAATCAATAACCAATATCAGAACTGAAGAGAAAAACGAGTAGTTACCTGATTGAAGGAGAGCGCATCGGAGCTAAACCTGATGCGCTCGCCTTTGTCGCACTTGATGGCAGCACAAACGTCCGAAACGACGACGTTACCAGGCACCACCAGGTCCTTCTTTCGGTTCCGGTCAAGCTCAATCAAACCCGATCCGGACGGGCCGGGCTTGCACGCGGACAACCGGATGTCGGAGGTGAGGTCATACCCGTACCCGATAACCGACACGGCCTTATCCGCCGCCGCCTGCGGGTTCATCCGAGCAGTGGTGTTCGAGTTGTACGCCATGGATGCGCGAGAGGCGGAGCTTTGCTCCAAATTTGGGGAAAAAAAGTGTGTTTTTTTATTTATGCAGAGGGTCTGCTTTGAATGGCAATTGGAGTCGACCGTTGACTGCTTTTATAGTATCGTTTCCCGAAATGAAATGATTGGGTTTTCGAATGACGGAAATGACCTTGTTCTTGGGGACAGAAGCAAGGGTTATTCGGTCAGTTGACATGCGCAAATAATAATTGGTCCCATATTAAAGGTTTGAGTTTATCAAGTCTTGATGTTAAATAGGGAAGTTTTGATGTTAATAGGCCCAAGTTGTTCAATGTGTGCCTGTCATACCTAGCTAGGTGTGTCAGAGCAGTTTTACACGCGCCTCCTTCACCCAAAAAGAAAAGAAAAATTGAAGAGTGTAGTGCACATTCTTATTTTTCATTTTTTAATTAAAAAATGAGACATATTACATAAATTAAAATATCATTAATTATTTATATTAAAAAAAATAAAATAAAAATACTGAAATTCATAATTTTTCATTATCTATAAATAGAAATTACATTTGATAGGTTTTTGAACACAACTAATTTTTTCTTTTTTCGTAATTATTTTATTATACTGACATATAATGAACATGTTACATAATAAAATGAATATGTTTTCAAATATGATGAACATGTTACAGATTGCAGATTGAAATAATACATATTCATCTTATTTTACAACATTCACCTTATTGTGTATCTAACATGTTCATCTTATTCTATAACATGTTTATTTTATTACGTAACATGTTCACCTTATTGTGTATGTAACATGTTCATCTTATTCTATAATATGTTTATTTTATTATGTAACATGTTCATCTTATTTTATAACATGTTCATTTATATTTTGTAACATGTTCATCTTATTCTATAACATGTTCATTTTATTATGTAACATGTTCAGCTTATTCTATAACATGTTCATCTTATTTTAGAACATGTTCATCTAAATTTCATCTGTGAAAATGTAATATTTTTTCATCTTATTCTATAACATGTTCATCTTACTCTATAACATGTTCATCTTACTATGTAACGTATTCATCTAATTATAGATTTATGTCATAATCTTCCAATAAGATAAATTAATTGTAAAAAATGATAAATTAATTGTGTTCCAAAAAATATCAAATGTGGTCTCTATTTATAGAGAATGAAAAATTATGAATTTTGGTATTTTTATTTTTATTTTTTGATACAAAATATGAATGATAATTTAATTTATATAATATGATATATGAATTTCATTATCCAATAGAAATGAGATACATGTCTCATTTAAAAAAAAAAAATGTCTTACCTCCTTACCTCACGCGCTTTTGGGAAGGGTGTATTTTACAAAAGGCCCTGGCACACCTAAGTATTTGCCCAAGTTGTTACTTGTCATGAAATGTAAGACCACTTTGTTTCAAGAAAACACAAATTTGTGTGTTAGTCTAATTGTCAAGTCGACCTATCATATTATTTTAAAAAATATTATTCCTATCAAATGTTTATATATGGAAAATGTTATGTCCCGTTACGGAACCATCCCGTCAGGAGATAATCATTGGATACACATGTAGTTAGTATAAAATAATGATCTAACGGTTAAAACACTCGACGGGATGGTTCTGTAACGGGACCATAGCTTTTCCCGTTATATATGTATATTTTATTTAAGGTATGAAATTCTTTTTTTTTTCGAAACGATAGAGGTAATATATAAATACGCACAAATGTGCAAATCAGCCAACGACTGAATACAAGCAACCAAAGACTGAATATAAGCAGCCAATAGCTGAATAAAAGTGGGAAGACAGTCAACAGACATCAGTCAACAGACCGCCTAGAGCCGACCCCAACAGGGTAATCCTCCGGAACACAATAAGCTATAACACTAAAAAACTAGAATAAAAACACAAAGACGACCCCAACAGGGTAGTGCTCGAGTGTGGGATCCCAACAGGATAATAAGGTTACACTTGGACAAACTGAGGCCAACGGCCCAGACCTAAAACACGAAGACAAACACAGAACCAACATAGACAAAACAAACAAACACTACAAAAAGAAAGACTAAGAAAAGAAAAAGGGCTCTTCCCCAGCAAACGAAAAACCCCAACCAGCGGTGAACAATCGACAGAAGAAAGATTCTAGCCCCAAAATCCACTACCGAAACTGCACAAACGCCTATACAGTGGAGAGCTGGAGCCTCGAACCAATCCCCGAATCGACTCGTCTCTGACCGAGAGAGCCCCATCAGCCCCAACAAGCCCCTCTGAATTCATCTAACACCACTAGCCGAACTCAATCAGTCACGTTTCCCCACCGCCAAACACCACTCGCCGGTGAGTAAGAAACTAAACCGGGCCCTCAATCCCGACCACCACTACACGAATGCTGCAGCAACCCGTCATCCCATCCCTCTCAGTGACGTCTGCTCCGCCCAACACCGCCGAAAAGAACCCTCGACCCCAAAATCCCACCCAGAGAGTGGAACCCCGCCAGCACAGCAGCACAAGAACCCACTGACGAGAATAGTAGATAGAGCATACCTCTGCAAAATCAAGAAGACGCCACCACCCACCGGAACTCGGCCGCGACCTCGAGCACCACCATCAATCGCGGACCCATTCTTGCGACATCAGAGGTGCATACTGTCAAGAGGAAGGACGAGCGATCTTCAACGACCCCTGACCGAGCTTAATTCGCCGCCGAGGAAGGCTGAAAGACTGAAATTTGAGGAAGACGAAGCATAGATTGGGGGTAGGGTTTTTTCGATGCAGAGCGTCCCAGGTTGAGAGTTACCAAGGTAAAAAGTATATTTATACCAAGCCTGAAATTCAAGTTTGAAAAATATCTATATACCTTAGAAAAATTTAATTGTCTAATTGTTAATCTTGTGTGTCATTAGTTTTATCCTTAATAAATTTTTGAGAGCATGTTTGCATACAAAAAATTAAAAAAAAAAAAATTCCAACATTTTAACTCAATCACTTTTTTAACTCAATTTTATTAACTAAACCTCAGTCACTTTCCTACAAAAAAAAAAATAAATAAAAATACAACATATGGACATTTTCTAAAAAAAAAAACAACTAAGTGGGTATTTATTTTATTATTTTATTTATTGTGATGGAAAAAAAGACATTATCCCAAAAATAGAGATGAGTGGGTTCCTAAAAATAGAGATGTTTATGCGTGCAATTAGCCATTATAATCCAATGTGTTTCTAAAAATTGAGATGTTTCAATGCATTTAGCAGTTACAATCAAATGAACAAATTGTTTTTTTTTTGGCATTACTATTTACCGCACCCTTATTACTAGTCACCGCCCCCTTGGACGATTTTGTCCTTTTCATTTTTTGTGTCCGCAAGATGTCGACCAGCTCGGAGGTAAAAAAAAAAAA